TGCCTCAGCGTCTGAACCGCGGATCATTAAAGTCACCGTGAAAACCCCCAAAGAGAAGGAGGAGTTCGCAGTGCCAGAAACAAGCAGCATCCGGCAGGTGAGGCGGGGAACGAGAGCTAGGCAGGGGGAGGGGCGTGGCTGGTACCACCGCTCGGCGGCGAGGGAAACGCCGGCCACCCGCTCCTAACGGGGGCATCTAGCCCACCGAAAGGCCAGGAGTCTGCGCGACGCTTCTGCACAGTCACTGGCCCAGCTGCTGGCGCGGGCTAGAGCTGTTGCCTCATCGAAGGCCTGAAAAGGGATTGGACTGACTAGGGTACAAAGTGGAGGTGGAGCGCTTTCTTCCAGGTGGGTTTGTGGGGAGAAGTGTGGCTCGTGTTCTTCAGAGGGTTTACTTTATAGTAAGCGAGTCCTGGATACAGGCCTTTGAGAGGGGGAGGCTAGGGGTGGAAACAGTTTGGTGTAGTGCTGGAGGCCGGAGATGCTAATGAGGTACCTCGGCTTTGTCTGGAAAGAAACAAAAAGCAGCGAGATCTGCAATTCTGTTCTGAGCACAGTCCTAACGTACCACCAAACCTCGAAGTTTAGAATTGGAAACCAGTGGAAGGTTTAGAGTCATTTCAAACGGGCTGGTTTTCTACTGCTTTGAATTAGCGCTCTTTTCTACAGTAATGGCTACTAGTGATGGCTGTACGCCTCTGAACGTATGAGTGGAAATGTGCTGTTCGGTACCTGCAGCCTTCCCATAGGAACAAAATGGTGGACTAAATGGCCTTTGGCCTGATTCAGCTCAACAACTCCTATGGTCTGCATTAACAAATAGACAGTTATACAGTATGTTCTTTTGCAACCTGGATTTTGTTTTCTTTGCATATGTGTATATTGAAGAATTATACTAATTGATACATGGTTTGCATGCAGTTTCTTTTGTAGAAGAATGTTTTCTGGAAGCAGTGTGTCATACTAGAAGCAGTTCACAATACCACTGTGAACTATACAGACACAATACCACTGTGAACTATACAGACACAGAATTATACTAGCACAGTATCTGGTATTTCTGGTGTATGGTCTATCACTTGCGTATTTCAAAATCAATATGTTGCAGATATATTTAAACATCTATATGTGCCACATTTTGCTCTTAAGCATAATATTTGCCAACCTGTCAAGACAACTATCTTCATACTTTGACCTATAGAGGAAAATAATACTGTATATTGGAAATGTAATATGAATTAGGCCTAATCACAGTTTTCAGTTGGAATCTTTTATGATCTAACATCACAGTAATATAAAGACAGATTTAGAAAATATTGGCAAAATATAGAATTACTGAGAGTGTAAAATTTTTACACTGTAAAATTTTACCAAACAAGGGAACTTTATTGATGCTAAGTAAACTGAATATTAATTATACCAGTGAATTTTGGATAGATTTTTTTTTTAATTTTGCCACTCTAGTTTGTCATTTCTAGGAATAGACAGCTTAGCATTTTAGAGTGCTTTGTTCTCTGATACCGTCTAAAGTTTTGGTTCATACTGCTTTTTCAAAGAGAAGTTAGAGTTTCAATTTTATCTCACAACATTGAACTCTTTATAACAGATACAAAATTGCCTATTTAGTTTAAATCCTGGGTTTTAGAGGGAATTTACAAACTGCCCACAAATAATAATGTTTTGTTTTTAAAAGTATTTCTAATTTGAAATATTTGGGATGTATGAGTTTGTTACAGCTTACTTAATTAAACTGAAACTAGTTTAGCCTGAAAACTGAAGACTTATTGCCACAAGCATTATGTCCAATGTAATAATCCTTTTGCTATTTTTTGAAATAATAAATTTTACAGATATTGGAAGCCAATTTATATAGATTTTTTTTGGCTGGTATACTGGCATTGAAGCTTTCTATTTCATATTTTTCTTTGGAAATAACTTGCTTTACTGTATAGGTCTTGCTTTTTGGCCATAGTAGACAGCTACTGTCATATCTGTGGGACAGAAACTCATCTGCAGAATAGAGTAAGAAGTTTCACCAAGAAAGAAAGCAAATTAAATGTGGGATCAGAATGCATGTGAGAAATCATGTTGTGAGATAAGTGTGCCTGGAGAAATGTTACAAAAGCAGAATTTGTTCTTTTACGTTGTTGTACACCTTGAGGTACTGTTTCTAGTTCTAAGACCTTTTAAATTATAACTTCTGCATAACATTTCAATCATATCATTTACATATGACTGAAAAGTGCTTTCATATTTAGAAAGCACACTTCAGAAAACTGCAGGTCGATATCATGCAGGGTGTGTTTTTTTTTAATTATTTGTATTAAGATTTTGTGCTGTTTATGAAGAGGTAGGCAAATAGTTTTATCTACACTACAGGTGAGTTTTTATTTCTTACATTCTGTCTTGGGGCTGGAATAAGAAATATTCATATTTTTTTACTACCTTATCGAAGAGACCTTAAACTGTGTGGTCATGGAAATGGAAGATTCTCTTTTACCAATATTAAAAAGAGTGTAGATTATGGGTCTGATTAGTATAGAGCTTTCTACAGTGGCTTACTGTTTGGTTCAGGGAGGAATAAGCTTTTTGATGTAGCCAACTATACTTATCAGAAATCTGATTCATGTTTTTTTATACAACTGAATTATGTGCTGATTCTAGGAAGGCCACAGCCAAGGTTAGATTTAGTTATTAAACTAAAAAATATCTTTATTGTATCTAATTGTTCTTCCATTCTTGAGAACTAATGTAACTTTTCAAAACCAGCTAGGCAAAGTTCCAATAAAGAACAATGAATTTGCCATCTCACTGAATCATCCCATATTAGCGGAATGTTTTGGCTAAAGACTGACATTGGGTACTGAACATCTAAACACTGGATGATAAAACGTAAAAGGGCAAA